GGACAAGATACGTCAGACACATCCACTGGACAAACACCAGCAGATGGCGAGTTAAAGCCAATTGGACAAGATACGTCAGACACATCCACTGGACAAACACCAGCAGATGGCGAGTTAAAGCCAATTGGACAAACACCAGCAGATGAGTCAACTAAGACATCTAAGCAGCCACCAGCAGATGGCGAGTCAGAGCCAATTGGACAAACACCAGCAGATGGCGAGTCAGAGCCAATTGGACAAACACCAGCAGATGAGTCAACTAAGACATCTGAGCAGCCACCAGCAGATGGCGAGTCAGAGCCAATTGGACAGGATGGGTCTAGTGAACAAACATCAGCAGATGCTGAGTCAAATCATACTGGACAGGATAAACCAGCCGAGTCAGATGATGAGCCAACTAAACTAGCCGAGTCAGATAAGCCCACTGAACAAACATTAGCAGATGGTGAGTCAAATCATACTGGACAGGATGGGTCTACTAAGCCCACTGAACAAGATAAGCCCACTGAACAAACATCAGCAGATGGCCAGTCAGACAGCAAGTCAAAGCCAATTGGACAAGACGATGAGTCAACTAAGCCTACTGGACAAACACCAACTGAACCAGTTAAACCAGCAGATGAGTCTACTGAGACAGCTCAGACTAAACCAGCAGATGAGTCTACTGAGACAGATAAACCCACTGCACAAGCACTAACTGGACAGAATGGGCCAACTAAATCAGATGATGAGTCTACTAAATCAGATGAACTAGCCGAACCAGTTAAACCAGCAGATGAGTCTACTGAATCAACACCAGCAGCCACTGAGTCAGATAAACAAGATGACCTATCAACACCAACTAAGATGGAAGAGTCAAATCTGTCTGGACAAGATGGTTCAAGTAAATCAACTGAACCAGCAGCAGCAGATAACTCAACTGATAAAGATGACTCTGCTAAACCAGCCAAGCCACCAGCAACAGCAGATGATGATAACGCTACTAAGCCAGCAGATGACTTAGATGACCCAGCTAAGCTTGTAACACCAGCAGATGACTCTACTAAGTTAGATGACGCAGATGACTCTACTAAGTTAGATGACGCAGATAGTTCTACTAAGCCAGCAGAAGATGACTCAACTGATAAAGATGATCAGTCTACTAAGTCAGATGACTCTAACAAACTAGTAACAGCAGAAGATGACTCTACTAAACAAGATGAGTCTGCCAATCCAGCTGAACCAGATGACTCAGATGACCCAGCTAAGCCAGCAGCAACAGCAGATGGCCCAGCTAATCCAGATGACTCAGATGACCCAGCTAAGCCAGCAGCAGAAGCAGATGACCCAGCTAAGCCAGCAACACCAGCATATGGCTCTACTAAGCCAGCCCAGTCAATAACAGCAGCTAAGCCACCAACAGCAGATAACTCAACTAATCCAGATGACTCAGATAAGTATACTAAGCGAATAATAACTACTGTGCCACTAACAGGTCAGTTGCTACCACCAGGATATGATGACTCTATTAAGTCAGATGAACTAGTATCAGCATATGATGATGATAGAGTATCTTCCAGTGAAAGTACACCAGCAATAGATGCACCAGAAGGATCTCCTGCTGATATAACACCAGCTGACGTACTCGCAGAATTGAATTTAGTCAATAATATGCAGTGCATGGCAAAATCAAATATTCACATATGGTCACTCCCCATTGAAATAGAAGAAATAATCACTCAAGAAATAAGTCATCCAGTGGGTGTAACTGTAAGTGATAATAAAGGACTGGCCCAGTTCCTTATTAAGCATAATTCACACATATTCAGAACACCCCCAAATGAACTATCTGATGAATTATTCACTCAGTGCATAATAAGGACTACTTCATTAACAATTGATACTTCTGTATATGAAGAAGGGGACTTATCCGTACAGTATAACTGGTCACTATTTAAAAATTTAATGGGGTTTGAAATAATGAATATTTCTGAAAACGAGCACTCAAAAAAAAATTGAAAATATTCTTACAGGGATTAAGGAAATTAACGAGTCCGTGGGCATGAAGCATATTCTGGTCTTATCAAATATGTCAATTACATCAGGAATAGCACAGAAATTAGTGGAGATGAAACCTGTTCAATTAGGGTTTAATAATGTTAATTATTCTGACTTCTTAGAGGAGTCTCTTGATGAATTTATAGGCAAATTATCGGATGAATTGTACTCACTTACACTGTGTAAGTTTACGTATGAGTGTTCAGACAAGTTGGGATCGAATAGTGTTGAAATATTTTCTATTTATAGGGTTTATGTTGAATCTTGTACTGAGGAGGTGATTGAATCGTTATTCTCCTGTGATTTTTATAGGTTAGCAACTACGCATATTTATAAAACGAATCAATTATCCAATTTAGACATGTACACAAAATGTCCATTTTTATACGTTAGGAATATTGTCCTGATTGATGAAGGGGCAATTAGTGACATATCCAGTCATGTACTTTCAAAGACTCTTTCTATTGATAGTATATGCGTAGTGGGTGGTTCATTGAGTCTATCAATTGATGGGGACGTGTTTAACCCGAAGATCACTAAAATACGAGAACTTGGGATTGAGTCACGGTGTAAACTGTCTATTACAGGCACGATAGAGAGTGCATGGCTTTCTTCTGTTAAATTGTCTGAGTATATATATACGCCAGGCAAGGCCATTCAAAGAGTGTTTAAAGTGTGTATAAATGAGTATGTCAGTGCGTGTGTATTAGACATAAACAGGTCGTCATTATTTTTAAACTATTCTGACTGCTTTATGTTCTCACCTGTCCTTGATTGTGTCGATAAATCAGGCCAATTTAAAGGGTTTATTAAGATAAAGCATGCTTCATCGAGTGATGAGGGGAATTTAAGTGAAATACAGAGTAAAGCAGTTAAAATGTGTGAGTCATCTGGATTAAACTTATTATTTGAACCAGCGGCGTAGTACGTTATTATTCTAAAATAAATAGAACAATCATTAAAAAGTCTTATAACTTATTACACAATGTATTATTACTTATTACATATATTCTATTACTTATTATAACTTATTACATATTGTATTACATATTCTATAGCCTATTATTACTTATCACATATATTCTATTACTTATTACACAATATATTACATATTCTGTTACTTAGTATAACTTATTACACATAGCTTATAACCTATTACACAATGTATTACAACTTAGTATAACTTATTACACATAGCTTATAATATATTACACGTATACCATAACTTATTACACATAGCTTATAATATATTATTACTCATTACACAATGGATTATAAATTATACTATAATCTATTACAAATTATTGCACATATTCTATTACTTATTACACATATAATAACATATTTTGTTACTTATTATTACTTATTACACGTATACCATAACTTATTACACATAGCTTATTATTATACTACACATATTACACATATACCATAACTTATTACACATACAATAACATGTTCTGTTACTTTATACACATATACTATTATATTTTTTGATAAAATTTTTATTTAATTTTTCACAATTATTTTTTTATCAACATAAAAATTTTGTATTTTTCTGTTAATAACAAGGAATGAACTAATAAATACTCCTATCTTTAAAAATACAGCAAGTAATATTATCTTAAATATCCCGTTGGTTAATTGCTTATACGACTGCTCATCAATCCGGTCCAGTTCCTGTAGGTCTAATATGTCCTTAGATACATTTATACACTCAGCGATCCTCTTCTCTTTATTCCTTATCTGAGAATCAGTATGCGAATATATACTGGGATCCTCTGGTCTGCCCTCATATATGACCACTTCTATCCCCACCTCTACATTCGGGTTTGGGTCTATGAACACCCTAAATAAGAACATGTGATAGTTCTCATGGGCTGATGTCCATAAGAAATTCACTTTTGACCCTTGCTGTGTATTCTTAGACGTATATACATCTACACCCACTTTAGTCAGTGCTTTCCACTCTCTTGATGGGGATTCAAATACGGCCATTTCTACTTTTATGTCTCTGTGGTAGTCATCTGAGATACTTGAACTGTAATCATGTGACATACTGTAGAAGTCCTTTGGCTCCATCCATTTACTGAACTCGTCCTTTCTTAAGTAGACTTTTGCGTCTGAGAGTGTTACGGTTGATTTTTTAAGTTCTTTTATGACGATTATTGGTGAGTTTGGCTTATACTGCTCTATAAACCCATTAATGGCACTTATTAGTAATACTGCAATAAATACTCCCTTCATTGAAAATAAAATAAACTGCATAATAAATAAAACACTGTATATAAAGTATTATTATTTATTATATATTGTATAATAAAAAGTATTATTAATAATACACTGTATAATAAGTATTACCATAGAATATATTATACGTAGTATTAATAATACACTGTGTAATAAGTATTATAATATAGTATACAATATACTGTATATTATTATTATTACACTGTATGTTCTGTTATAATATAGTATTATTAATACATTATCGTTATTATTATTAATACACTGTATACTAAGTATTATTATTAAATATACACTGTATACTAAGTATTATTATTAATACATTATCGTTATTATTATTATTAATACACTGTATATTAAGTATTATTATTAAATATACACTGTGTAATAAGTACCCGTATTTATTATACACTGTATATAATCTACTACATATCCCTTAATAAAGATATGTTCCTGTTCGCCCAGTGCTCAGCAGTAAATTTAAATACAACTTTCTGCATCCCTTCCCTCTTCTCCCTCCTCTCCCGGTCGCTCATCCCTAGTGATACCTTATACATACGGGATAACTCCTTTATGTCCCATGGATTGGAATATACAGACTCTGTTAGCATACCAGCTGCACCAGCATACTCGCTCATTATTAATACGCCAGTGCCAGTGCACGCAATAAATTCAAGTGCCACTAAGTTCATGCCGTCCCTTAATGAGGACACCACACACACATCAGATACACTGTATAATGCACATAACTCACTGAATGTGACCGAATTGTTTATAAAGTACACAGAAGTGTCCTCAATCGACCCGGTCGAATTAACCGATCCACTGAGCTTACATAAAACACTCGACAGTGCAGCGTACACCTTTACATCTGTCCGACTGGGCACACCCACTTGACAGAACACGACCCCTTCTGATACGTCCTTATTATCCTGCAGTAATTTATTGAATGCTTTTATCCTGTGGGGAATCCCCTTTATGTAATCGACCCTGTCAATCCCAAGCACGATCTTTTTATTTCCTAATTGTTTTTTTATTTCCTGTGCTCGTTTGATGGTTTCCTCCTTTAAGGACTCATTCTTGAACAATTCCGGACTTATCCCGATCGGGAGTGCTTCTAATTTTATCGACCGAGTATTTTTTATAACGGTCATTTTCGAAATATTTTCGGACTCGCAAATTTCCGAGGAGTTCTTGAAGTTCGATAAGTACTCGAACGTATGAAATGCGACTAAGTCCGATCCAAGTACGCCATTAATTAATGGATATAAAATCGGGAATCCTTTAAGGATGTCGTAACTCGGGAATGGGATGTGTAAAAAGTATCCTATTTTTATGGACTTATCCGTGCCCTGCCTGATTAATTCTGGGAGGATCATTAAATGGTAGTCATGTACCCAAATTATATCTCCATCCTGTAGTATACTTAGTACTTCATTAGCAAATTGTACATTTACTTGTTTATACGCTATGTAGTCCTCTATTGAAAATTGGGTTAAGTCATTGAATGAGTGTAATAATGGCCATAGTACGCCATTACATAAGTTATTGTAGTACTTGTCGTATAAATCATCTTTAATAAATATCGGGTTATACTTATACTTACTTATACAGTCATTTTTTACTTTTAATTGGTCTTCATCAGGTACGCCTTCTAATGAACCAATCCATGTGAAATTTAAAGAGTCTTGTGCACCTGATAGTCCTGTGACTAATCCGCCTGATGTCTTTGTATAGATATATTCTGAGTCATTTTTAGATACTTTCAGTGGTAATCTGTTGCTTACTACAATAATTCTGTCTGTCATGTATTTACAAACGAATGAATATAAATATAAAACAATTCCTAAAATAAATAAACATTGTAGTAAAAATAATAATATATAGTACACAATGTATAATAAATAATAGATAATATGTAATAAGTGATAGATATATAATATATAATATGTAATAAGTGATAGATATATAATATAGTATGTGTAATAAATAATAGATAGTGTACAATGTGTGATAAGTAATATTATATATTATACAATTAGTGATAAGTGATATTATATAGTATGCAGTGTGTGATAAGTTGTGTCTAATAAGTAATATTATATATAGTGTACTGTGTGTAATAAGTGATAAATATATGATACAATGAGTAATAAGTTGTGTATTATGGCGTGTAGTATGTGATAAGTAATATTATATAGTGTGCAGTGTCTAATAAGTAATGTACACTGTGTAATAAATAATGTACAATGAGTAATAAGTTGTGTATTATATATTATACCATGTGTGATAAGTTATATATTATATATTATACACTGTCTAATAAGTTATATATTATATATTGTACAATGAGTAATAAGTAGTGATAAGTTGTGTGTTGTGTGTTATGGTGGGCTTGTGCGTTACTAGTGGGACTGATTGTTTTTTTTATATTTTTTTATCTTAATTAAATCTAACGTATATTTCCTTATATGGATATTTTATAAATATTTTGCAATTTTTAAAAATTTAAAAGACTATTCACTTTATTACAAATGTGCTGATCTAGTATAGACCAAGGTTTCTAGAGAAAAGAACAGCATATAACCCTCTCCTTCTCACTTGGAACATATACTCACACGATACCTTGCAGAACGTAAACATAGAAGGTTTCTCACAAGAGTTCTCCTGACCAGCACGTACAGGAAGAGCACACGGTGAACAGTCCCGGTACTGTGGCATGGGTGGACACCCAATTGGACCACATGGCATCACTGGGAACATGGGATACCCAGGGAATGGCCGCCGTGGCATTGGTCCCCATGGGAAGGGACTGCACGGCGTAGTGGGAGTGACTAAGTAGTACTCCTCACCCACAGATACGTATATGTTATTGAAGTGGTCAATGAATAGACACACACACCCGCACACACTGAATTTACTACGGGCCTCAGTAAGTGCCTTATGTAACACGACAGGCTGTTTAAGTATAGTTGGTATACCGAATAAGCTGGAACTAATTGGGAACATCTTAGAGAATGTCCATATAGTATCACGACTGAATGGCTTGCACTTGGTCTCAATTACCCTTATAAATGGACCACAGAACAGGGTTAGCTCATCAATAATGAACACTTTCTTATGTGGATAATTCTTAACGCAGGGAGAGTCGCATGGGGACACTCGCTTCTTCACTTCACACTTGGATGGTTTACAGCATGCAATTGCACAACCACGGTTATCCTTAATCTCAACATTTGGTGATTTACAGCACTCAGATGGTGATGGCACAGGGGTAGGTGCAGGACACACAGGGGCAGGTGCAGGACAGACAGGTGCTGGAGTGGGTGCAGGTGCAGGACAGACAGGTGCTGGAGTGGGTGCTGGTGCTGGTGCTGGTGTGGGTGGGCATGATGTGCCTGTGGATATGCATAAGACACTGTTTGTCTTGTTACTGTAATCCATTGGGGTTACATCCCCTGCACTTGTGCCTATCACCATGTTGATCTTCTCACCATTCCATCCGGCTACGTGTGCTTTTGTTACACCTGCTGATCGCATGGATGCCAGTACAAGGTTCATGTCCTGTGCCCTGAGCATAAATGGTTGCATACCTACTCTCTCACAGACTGATGATGGGTCTGATAAGTTCTGTATACAGTCCATTGTAACTACATTAACTTTGCCTTGTTCTTGTGCTAAGCAAGAGATTGTCTTGCTTATCAGAGTAATTATAGGGAAGTATCTCATTGGTTTTCTTTTACTTTTGTCCTATTTATATCTTTATACTGACGAATAAAGTTAAATACGATTATATTTATTATTTAAAGGAATCAGGTCTTTAGTCTATTATATGTAAATTATGGGTCTAAATGGGAATGGAGTGGTCTAATAATATATTAAAATATAGTAATTAATATATAAAAAGTACTAGACTAGTCTATAATATAATATATAATATATAATATATAATATATAATATAGTATGTGTAATATATAATAAGTAATAATATAGTATGTGTAATAAGTAATAAGTAATAATATAGTATGTGTAATAAATAATAAGTAATAATAGTATGTGTAATAAATAATAATAGTATGTGTAATATATAGTATTTATAATGCATAGTGTAATAAGTAATAATATAGTATGTGTAATAAGTAATAATAGTATGTGTAATAAGTAATAATATATAATAATAGTATGTGTAATAAGTAATAATAGTATGTGTAATAAATAGTATTTATAATGCATTGTGTAATAAATAATGTATAGTACGTATACTGTGTAACAAGTACTAATTATAATGCATAGTCTAATAAATAGTACTAATTATAATGTATAGTGTAATATATAATGTAGTATGTGTAATAAGTAATAATATATTGTGTATAGTGTAATAAGTGGTATTTATTATGTATGGTATAATAAGTTGTATTATGCCATATTATTATTTATACTATGTGTATTATATATTACTTATTATATATTGTACAGTATATCTTTAATATAGTATAAGTCTATAATAATAAATACGTATAAGAATGTACTGAATATAAACCCTAAAATATGCCACAGTGCGTGTGAGTCTAATAAGAAATAAATAGGACCAAAATCAATCACTTGGAATAGGACACTAATACACATCCCAGATATAATTAGCACTAATATTCTACTGTAAGAATATTCCTTAATAGATGTATACCAAATATACCACAGGATCACATTTAAACAGTAAAATACACCACAAATTATAGAATTATACAAGAAATTAAAATTATTAAGCATATACAGTATATGTATAAACCATATAATACTTAATACACAATGTGTATTAATTAAGTATAATCTATAAAGACTTATTGCTATAGATGTAAAAATACTTAGTATGGCACTAAAATAATCTACACATTGTGTAATATATATATCTCTAATATGAAATAATCCACTGGATAACCATGTGATTGTGTTAATAATGTAATATATTAATAATATATTAATGTATGTGTACAACTTATTATCTATAGTGTTATTATTAGTATTGTATGGGTATAACTTATTAATTAATGTATTATTAATAGTACGTATTGTGTATAATATATTATACATAGTATTATTAGTGATACTTATTGTACTATGCGTATTATATCCTGTACTATTGTATGACTTATTACACACTGTGCTATTATTACTATATAAATTATTACTTATTCTACTATGCGTATTATATCCTGTACTATTATTATTATATGACTTATTACACACTGCGTTATTACTCTTGTTTATATACTTATACTTTATATACAATGTATATATAATACAATTTAATGAACATACCATAGAAAGTACTGAAAATACACACGATATGACCTCTTGCATATGAAATTGCCTAATAAATGCATACTTACCTAAATATTTGCTATACGTGTCATTATTTATTATACAATGCGTAATAAATCTTTGATTACTTTTAAATTCATCCGGTGTAAATAATACTTTGTCTATGTTTCTGTATACGCCGTCATTATATAATAATATTTTTGCTACTTCTGTCAGTGTTTTTATCTCTCCTTCATTAAACATATTTAATTTATTATTATAATTAAATAAATACATTAAATATTATTATTCTAATAATTTTAAATGGACCGACAAGAGATAATAAATATTCAGGTAAATACTCATGAATATGAAGAAATAAATTTACCATATAAGGAAAGAAAGCGTCCTAAAAAGGTAATTTCCAAGAAAAAAATATCCTTATATAAAACTGAGATATGTAAAAGTTTTGAAAGTAGTAATTATTGTACATACGGTGATAAATGCCAATTTGCACACTCCCTCCATGAACTCCGTGATATTGAAAGGCATCCCAGATATAAAACTGAGTTGTGTAAGACGTACACTACCACAGGAGAGTGTACATACGGTAAAAGGTGCTGCTTTATACATGCAGGGCCCAGTGAGGATATTCACACTGACTTACAAGATGCAAGGAACTTACCGGGTGACTGGAAAGTGCCTGGTGTACATGATAAGTCTATTGAGATGTGCAGGATATCTGAGGATAATGACATGAAGATATCGGGTTATATCGGGTTATCACCAGATGAATTAGATAAGATTAAGAGTCTTAGTGTGTATAAGGTTAATACAGATATAATGCAGACTAATTATAATAGGGTTATAAATATACCATCTGTTATATATGTAAGTAATACTTATAGTACGTCTAATATATGGGTTAAACCTTATTTCTGTTATATATATGTAGATGCCTTGTGTAAGGTAAGTAATAAGGTATCTATAGGGAAGTCACCTGGACTATTTACTATACTAAAGGATTATACTGAATAAATAATACACAATGTATAATAAGTAATAAATATACCATACTGTGTAATAAGTAATAATAATGTATAATAAGTACTGTACATTGTGTAATAAGTAATAATAATGAGTATAATAAATATACTATACTGTGTAATAAATGTTAGTAAGTCATATAATAAATATACTATATTGTGTAATAAGTACTGTACATTGTGTAATAAGTATTATTATTTGTGTAATAAGTTTTAGTACTCTCTGTGTGCTTTATTAATATAATATACCTTAATATATCTATTACTTATTATACATTGTATACCATATATTATTATTTGTACTATGTGTACTATATCCCGTGCACTGTATATTATTTATTACGTAATGTATATTAAGTGCTGTACATAAAAAATTTAAATGGAAATATTCAAGTACGCTCCTAATTGGCCAGCAATTGAAAGAAGACAGAAAATGAAAATATCACAAACAGAAGAAAGAGCACAAAGACTCCCCTTAAATAACGACAGATTTTACTACAAAGAAGAAAGTAAAAACAAAAAAGAAGAAACTTTATGCACAATATGTAAAAAGTCTGTTCACTTCCCAGCAATTTGCCCCGAAAAAATAAAAAAAAACAAGAAAAACCAGAAGAGCCAACAATTTACACGCCAATGTTCAATTTTACACCAACAACAGTAAAATTAACGAATGTCCCTGTTGAAACAATTAGGTCAGATATAAAAGATTTCCTTATAAGGAAAAATATTCAATTTGATGCCATAATCATGGTAACTGACAAAGCTAACAGGGAGGACTTTAAAGGGACCATTTATATTGAATTACCAACGGAAAGCATAGCAGAAAAGTGTGTGACAGTGTTTGATGGGTTGAAAATGGGTGTACAGATAATTAGTGCAACGACAGTAGAAGGAAGACAGAAATTATAACACAATAAGTAATAAATAAAACTTATTATACAATGAGTAAAATATATTATAGAATGAGTAATGGATAACTTATGATATAATGAGTAATAAATAATGAGTAATAGATAATGGACAATGAATAACTTAGGATATATGACTTATGATACAATGAGTAATAAGTAATGGATAATGAATAACTTAGGATACAATGAGTAATAAATAATATACAACTTAAGATATATGACTTATGATACAATGTGTAATAAATAATATATACTGGATAATAAGTAATGAATAACTTAGGATATATGACTTATGATAGAATGAGTAATAAGTAATATATACTGGATAATAAGTAATGAACAACTTAGGATATATGACTTATTATATAATGTGTAATAAATATGACTTGTGATACAATGAGTAATAAGTAATACGTCTTGTGCTAATTTGTTCATTACTTATTGTGCAATGTGTATTATATACTATACAACCTGTCATTACTTATTGTGCAATGTGTGAAAAGTCCTAGTGTATATATATGAAAATTTTAGTAAATTTTATTATATGAGTGAGAGAATAAGCCACGCCAGATGTAAAGCAATACTTAAAGCAATCGAATGCGATACATCAGAAGATGAATCTAAATTATTCACTAAATTGTACGGATTACTGGTTATGTCCATAAGAAATAAGTATAATGATATAACAGAATCAGTTAAAAGTAGGATTATATCTGTATATAAGAAAAGGAAAGGATTTAGTCTATTTATATCTGGAGAGTTCTTAAATGACTTAAAGGCCCAATTAAATGGGGATACTTTAGATAGTGATAAGGAATACTTAGAAAAGATCCTTAAAGTTAAACTAGGGAGAAAGAAAAAGAGTGAAGTAGAAATAAAAGAATTTAAAGAATTTGAACCAGCACTTAAAACCAGTGAAGGAAGTGTGCGTGGGGGCAAGGGCAGTAGCAAGAGAAGAATAAAGAGCGAGAGAAGTAAAGCAAAAACAGAATCAGCTGATTACATCAGGAAAAAGAGAAGAGAAGATAAGGAATATTATGAAAGGCTTAAGAGAATGGAAGGATTACTTAAGAAACAATGAGTAATAAGTAATAATTAAAGAACCATGCGCAATAAGTAATAATTAAGAGAGAATGTGTAATAAATAATAGAATATTATGTGGATGTAATTGTATAAAGCATTAATAAAGTAAAAATACGTCGACAGCAGGATTTGAACCTGCGCGGGCATGCCCAATTGATTTCGAATCAACCGCCTTAACCACTCGGCCATATCGACACAAAGATAGTACGGCGCAGGGGCTCACTCCAGTGATGAAATAAAAACCAAAAAGAACGTCAGCGGCAGGATTCGAACCTGCGCGGGCTAAGCCCAGCTGATTTCAAGTCAACCGCCTTAACCACTCGGCCACACTGACATATACAAAGAAGTGATTTATTCCCCCTGTGATAAATATACATGCAAATATATTAAAAAGAACGTCGACAGCAGGATTCGAACCTGCGCGGGCAAGCCCAATTGATTTCTAATCAATCGCCTTAACCACTCGGCCATATCGACTTGCTTTATAAATACACCCTGCGTATACCACAGTATATAACCAAATATAACCAAATAAGTGTTGTTCTTATACTATAATAAAAGTGTACTCGTACTAATCGGATTATGAAAGGTTTTACTATAAACATGATACTAAAAATAATACTTATTTATTGATGTTAATTGTTCATGGTACGCCTGTAAGTATACCGGGTTAATTGGTTCTTCTTTGATAGTATTATGGGCTTAATGCACTTAGTATACGACTTGAACTTATCGAAATAATTCCATGAATTAGACGATGAAAGTACATTTACTGATGGATTTGTGTCGTACATGGACTTCTGGAACTGGTGCAGCTGTGTATGTGATAATGTGACGGTTTCTTTGATGATTTCTTTGATTTCTTTAAACTCACATTCTTTGTTTACCTCTCCACTCTCTTTACAGCAGACATTGCATATGATCATGTGCAGTGAGAATGAAGTGAAATAATTGTCTGTAATAATCGTATGGATTGCATCTTGAAAGTGCTTGTTTCTCTCCATGATAAGCTTAGAATGGTCTTCTTCTGAGGGAGGGGTGGGTGGATTAAGACTCTTCTTGGTGCTTGCAGGGGAGAACCCTTTACTTGGTGAATCTTCTTTTATTTCAGTTGTATTTCCGGGGTTTAGTATACAAGAACTACCATCACCAGAAGTACCTTGTGGATTATTAGAGTCCTCCTTGGATACACCTGCTGTATCTACAGTATCAACCCCTTTGTCTTCTGGAGTGGGTGTAGGAGACTTGGGCCATTCGCTTAGATAGTTTTCTCCCAAAAACCTCTTCCATACACTGTCTCCTCCAATGCCGTAGAGATCGCCTGATTCTGTGGATCCTTCACTAGAGTTGTGGTCTATTGTAATAGGCTTATTCAGTGGGCCTCTAAAGAGTATTTTATTAAATTTGTCTGATGAATCATTTTTTATACTGGGATTGGCTTCACTTAATTCAGAGGATACACTCTCTGCTAGACTTATTACATCCATTTCGAAATTTTCAAGTGACTCTCTTGATTTATTATGATTATGTATTAGTTTCTGTATATTATTTAGACCAAATCCTATACTGAATGAAATTAATGTGATATTGCATGCATGCACGGACATCTTCTTAATCGCCTTCTTGAAGCATTTGTGTAATGCTTTGTGCTCCTTTGGGTTATACCACAGTAAAAACATTTTGTACTTGTCGTATAAATGTGGAGATACTTCCTGTGGTAAATCCATCGTCTTGGAAGAATTCTTATTCACTAACTCTTTCATCTCAGCTAGTGAGATACTTCTTCCTATTATGGAACTATATTTAGTCAGTAGATTGATCTTCATTAAAAGACACTCGCCGGATAGCTTGTTTAGACCTACAATCATATTCCTATACGGAGACACTTTTGATACAATTCCGTGGCATAAATCAGGGAGCCATACTTTGCAGTTAAGCGTAATAAACTCCATTATAAATACATTAATAGACGTGGATACAACAGACTCAATTATAGATGCACTCTGTACGTGGACTGTATACGGAATGCCTATAAGCCCGAAAAGTGGATGGTTTTCCCCAGCATGCGCAGGATATGGAAATGGATACCTAAAAAATACATTTTCATTAGAGAGTACGGACTTGTTTGTCTCTGAAGATTCGTTCTGTATACTTGTTATAATTATTTTTTCACTTAATAAATGGTCTTTGTCCTCTTTGTCCTTTAATACGCACCTATCTAGATTTAAGTTGTTTAAGACCCTTTCTATTTCCTTGGTGTAAATATCGCATAAAGTGGGATTGTTTGACCTTATCACATAGAATGTAAGATTAAGTAAATTCTCAAACTGTGCAAATGTGCTTGGAGTTTTTTCAAGTGAAATAATTCCAGCGTAGGATATGCAGTACTTAACTATCCTTGAGAGTAATTTGGGAGCATCAGAGGCTTTATTGCATACTCTGTACTGTAATATATCCTCAATTAAATCAAAATAGTTGTATAGACAAATCCATAAGTGCCTATGATACTGTAGTCTAAGGCCTGTTGTGCTTAGTCTGGAAGTAGAAGTTACACCCTCAACACAGTTCGTCATAATATACTTTAAACAGTAGTAGTCGTGTATAATCTTATCCCTCCTCTCAAGTATTTCTGGACTATCAAACCTTCCTATCTTAGTCTTTGTATACTTATAGTACACATCGTATAATGAAGAATTGTCTACAACTTCCTGTGAAAGATTTTCTAATAACTTTATGTCTAATTGCATACTTAATGGAGATTGTTCACTAAACACTTTGTCTATGATTATATCTGATAGGTCTTTCATTTTAAATATATTTAGTATTGTTTTTATATCAGACACTAAATCGTCATACATGTACTCAATTGCATTTAATTGAGAAAAGACAGATTTATTATTAAGAATATCCTTCTTAAAAAAATCTCCTCTCAGTGCACTTAAGTCCGTGGGAATTGGTTCAGTTGATGGGCACGGATGAACATCTGAAAATCCTGTTGATTTCACCCTGTTTAGTACAGGACAGAATATATTATTAATTTTTGTGTTTGCTAGTGTTTTATGCCCATCCTCTGATAAATTCCAAAAGTCAATATCTTCTGATAGAGCATCAAATACTTCACTTTGATTAATCCCACCGTACCTAATAAATGATTTAATATTGAATACTAAATCTTTTTCACACTCGGCTGGCTTGTCTTCTTTCTTACTGACATTCTCTGTTGATTTACTATGTCGTACATGTGAAATGTTCTCTGTTAAACTGTTCTCTCGCTTATTGACATTCTCTGTTGATTTACTGTGCCGTACATGTGAAATGTTCTCTGTTGAACTGTCTTCTTTCTTACTGACATTCTCTGTTGAACTGCCTTCTTTCTTACTGATATTCTCTATTGGACTGTCTTCTTTTTTACTGATATTCTCTGTTGGACTGTCTTCTTTCTTACTGATATTCTCTGTTGATTTGCTCTGTTTACTTGATTTCTCTGATAAATAATGCTCATCCTTTGAAATGTTTTCTAAGGTCTTGAAATTCTTACGCAATGGCTTTTCTTTATGCGGGCCTTCAGCTGGCTTTCTACTGCTTAAGTCCTTTAAATAGTTAATAATTAAAGATTTCCGTGAATTTTTCTTGTGATTATTTAAATATGCTTCTTCCTTGCTCTCTGCTGTACTACTTGCACTGTCTAATACAACAGCACGGTCCTTAATTTTGGATTTGCTATAATTAATGTTCTCTCCATCTGCTTCTCTTCTGATCCATGTGTTATTTACATTTAATCTACTTGGTATATCTACAACAGTGTTTTCCGTTACATATCTTGAACCTCCCTGGCATACACACATAGTTTTTGCATCTGACTCACTCTCACTGTCTGATGCGCTATTCATATAACTGCTTATTTCTGTGGCATCTTCAATCGGATCAAATAAACCTATTTCATACGATAAAAGCTTATTAATATACGCCTTGGTTGAATTATCTATTTGTGATAAATATCCATTGTTGTGCATATCTATATCTTCATAATAAATTCCCCTATCATTAGAATTACCCATTTCTTTGCCAATTGATTGTTTATACCTCTCTGTCTGTTGATAAATACTTGTTCCTACACATACCCCTATAAAAGGAAGAGTTCTTATTATCTGTATAATTTTCATAAAATATTTTATAGTAATTCTATAAATAGTCTTATTTGTTTCTGATATGATATAATAAATTAGATCTTATCAATGCGTATATTATACATATGATGGGCGTGTATACTGTATAAACCTTCTGATTTACTGCCATATGTTATTAATAAGCAATTTATAGCATAAATAATATTTATATATTTAGTATGTTATTAGTACGCATAGTTCACAAGAAATAATTTAGAATTATAAAAATATAATACAATGGGAATATAATGGTATAATACGTATACGTATACAATTATGATTATGATTATACCTCGGATGAACATTTAATATTAGTATATTATACACTATAATACATTTATAATTGTGGTGACACCACCACTCAGACGGGAACCCTGAGGGCGATCCGTCTGCGCGCCAGCTCGCGCGGTGATCCCGCCAAAGCAAAGGCCGGGATCTCTGAATCAGTATATCAACTCCCGACTATTTAACCGGAGCTCTTCCCCCAATTTAGGGGGAGACTCAGGGAAGCATCGACGGCTTAACAGCAGCGCCAGGCTTAACACAACTGCGCCCGAGACTCCGTGTCCGCGCAGGCTTGGGCCGCTTCCTAAAGACAATAAAGAGCTCTCCCCTTTCACCCTCTTCTCTCTCTTGGCTACGTAGCAGGGCGGCGGTGGCGTTACTCCTTGTGAGTACGTCAGATATATTAAGAATAAGAAATAAAAAACTCAAACAGGCTCTTTTAGGAGATCCAGAAGAAGATAAAGAGTGATAAAACATTTTATTTTAGGATTTCTATATTTTAAGGAAATATTTTAACCACCTGCACTATGCATATAATAAATCATACATCCGAATAAGGTCTGCCTTTAGGTTTTATAAGTTGTTTAAGTTATACATCAGTCTCTTATATGTGAAATTATTTATTCTTTATAAATATTTTTATTAACATATTTTTATTTAAGCACGATGGAAGAATATCTAACAGGAAATAGCACAATTTCGAACATAACAGAAGAAATTTATACAACGCCAGCGCCATCAAGCAACCCTATAGATTGTTTTTTGAAAGCGGTGTGTATTATTGGTATTGTAATTTTAAGTTTAACTACAACAATTATATTAGCCATCTATTCTGATGGTGCGTGGCATAGAGTTAAAATGTGTATATTATATGCAATATGCCCAGAGAGAAATGTGTCAAATGAATCAAATAATAGAGCCAATGGAGAAGC